TCAAGACCCACGTTGGGACTCTAGCTCATAATCTAAACTGGCACTCAGTGCTGGGAGAGAACTCCATTAGTCAATGGCGCTCCTCTTCAGATGAGATGTTAAACTGAGACCTCAACTACCTGAATTCAGCTGGATGATAATGATTCCAATACTCGATTTGAATTAATCAACAATCCCCCATTGCATTGAGATCTTGATGTGTGTAAATGGCTGCTTCATTTGCATGCAAAAAATCATCACTAAATTTGACAGTTATTACTGTGAAACACCTTTTGACCTGATAAATGCGAGTGCTTTCTTTATGGAGAGTAGTCACTACTGTGTCCATAATTTTGAACTCCCTCCCTCAGCACCATCGTCTCACCCACTCTATCTGTCTTTAAATCGCTTCTCATAGCCTATCTCATAGACCACATCAACAATCGCCTCCACCTCCCCTACTACCCTTCCTTACTTAGGGTCTGCCCCGTCTTTATGATGTGCTCTGAAACAAATTGCATTAATATAGCGCCTTTCACGTCAGAAGGACATAGCAAGGTGCTGAACAGTTGAGGGTTTGCATCTGAACTGGGGGTTGGATTCGGAGGGGGAGCGCAAAGGGATGGGTGTGGGTGGTGGGATGTTATCATACATGAGGGGTGCTATATGAATGCAAGTTGTTGCTGCTACTGTACTCGCCAGAATTGCTTCTTAAATCTCTGGCTTGATTCTGCAGCTGTGAAAGGCTGATGCTGACATCTTGTGGCCTGTATACAAACCATCCCCTGCTCGGTGAGCACAGGGAGGTTTTGGATTGTGAGCTGGTCAGGGAAGAGTATCAACGATCAAAGCTGTTGAACTTCAAACACATAACAGAGCTCAGAGGATAGCTTCTTAAAGTCAAGCAATTTGTAGAGCTTGATAAAACATGCCCTCTATAGAAATTGCTCAATGAGGGTTCGGTGCAGTACAGCCCAGCTTAGATTAGTATTTTTTCCCTTTAGCTAACATCGCTTTTGCTGGTCTAGAAAGGCCTCAGATTTAAACCCTCATTTGGCAACTTCCAAATTATTACTGAATTTCTACATTTATTGGAGCACTTTCAATCAGGGCTTTGCCATCGATTGTAATGTAAATGTCAGAATACTGTTGCTTCCGAGCTCCTGCTGACACACATGCTGGTTAACTATGCCTATGAACTGCCATTCATAACACCAGCAAGCGCAGTGTCTCTGTCTCTGACACAGTATTGGATTTCCCTCCTCCACATACTGGAATTTGTGGAACAGACTTCCACCAAACACAATAGAATATGTTGATTCTTTGTCAAAAAAAACTCCGATTTAGTTACAAGCAACATTAGCTATCAGGATAGGTGAACAAATATTCCAATGAACAGATCGAAATGTTCCAAATCAATAAGGTGTAACGTATCTTCAATCCCATTGATGATTATCAACTCAATGTTGACCAGATGGAAGCCATACTCATTGGGTCCCGTGAACGTCTTCTATCCTGCGGCTCTGACCTCCTCAATATCCCGGTCTATCACTCAGACTTACCGAACCAGTGCGCAACCTAGCTGTCAAGTTCGACCCACAGGTTCCTTCCCCACATCCGGTCCCTGACAAGGTCCGCCTTCTTCCACCTCCATCTCATACTACCGCTCACCTACTCACCTGTACTGATCGGCGTACCCTCATCACACCAGTTCTACTCAAGCTCCACTGGCTCCCCATCACCGAACGGGTTGATTTCAAGATTCTCACACACATTTTCAAATCCCTTCATGCCCTGGCACCTCCCTACCTCTCCAACTTACTTACCCACAACCCTCTGCCTCTGCTCCACTGGCTCCAGCCTCCTGCATGTCCCTCATGCCCTCCATTCTACCATTGGTGACCGCACTTTCAACCACTGTGCCCCGAAACTCTGGAACACTCTTCCTCTATCCCTCCGCCTTGCCCCCTCCTTCTCCATTTTCAGGTTGTGCCTGAAGATTTTCCTATAATAATAATAATCCTTGCGTTTGATATAGCGCTTTTCACATCGGGAGGATGTCCCAAAGCGCTTCACAGAACACACTGTAAAGTGAATTGACTGTATATTTGTGGGCGAACGCGGCAGCCAATTGCGCACAGCAATGTTCCACAAACAGTCGTAGGTTGAAAATGACCAATTTATTATTGTTTTTTTTGTTTTGGAGGGATTATTATTAGGCGTGTGGAGTAAGGAAACTTGCCCAAGGTTTCGCCCTGTCTGGAATTGAACTCAGGTCTCTCGCTTGCAAAGCGAGTGCTCTAACCACTGAGCTACAGGACTCCGATGTGACTGTGCCTACGCATACCTCCCCCTCCCCCTGGCTCGGAGTCGTGCTCCGCCACGTTCAAGCGCACTGGGACGCTACCCTTCCTGAGTGGCACTATATAAATGTTGTTGTTGCTGTTGTTGAAGTATTGGGTATGTACACTCATGGTTCCATTCACTGAACTGGGAGTTACCACTTCAGATCAGCCTGGATCTTAATCCAGAAGTGCACAAGCCAATAAAGGTCAGTTCTGACTAAGTGCATAAGAGATACTGCTGTTATTGGTTTGCAGCATGAACTCTTCGATACCTTTTTAAAAATGATTCATTCAAAGTTCTGAGCTGTCCAGTGCGTCACACAAAAGTGTTGAGAGACCCATTGGGGAGAGGGCCCAGTGTAAATCCGTAACATCGTCTGACTCCGCTACTACCTCACCCCTCAGCCCGCTGAAACTCTTGTTCATGCCTTCATCACATCCAGGCTCGACTGTGCAAACCCCCTGCTTGTCGACCTTCCCAACTCTACCCTCCACAGGCTGCAGATAATCCAGAACTCTGCAGCCTGTGTCCTCTCCCGCACCAAACTCCGTGACTTTATCTCCCCCATTCTCGCCCGACTCCATTGGCTCCCTATCCTTCAGAGGATCCAGTTCAAGATCCTGGTTCCTACCTACGAAGCCCTCCATGGCCTCACCCCACCCTACCTCTGCAATCTCCTAACCCCCCACCAACCCGCCCACTCCCTCCGCTCAGCCGGCTCTGGCCTGCTCCATGTCCCCCGACCCACCCGCCCTACCATTGGTGGGAGAGCCTTTAGCCACTCTGCCCCCAACCTCTGGAATTCCATCCCCCAATCACTCCGCCTCGCCCCCTCCTTAGCCTCTTTCAAGTCCCGCCTCAAGACCCTTCACTTCAACCATGCCACCGGCCACCCCCCTTCCCCTCCCCTTCCTTCTCCCCCCCCTGAAATGCTGTACTCTGTCCAGCGCCTTGCGACGTCCTTCCAACGTGAAAGCGTTATATAAATGTAATCTTATTATTGTCGCTGCATCCATAATGCACAGGTGTGTATCTCATAGCTCCATCAAACCATCTCACCCAAGTGGTGTGAGAGGAGCACTGCTTTAGCCCCATTTCTATGCCACATTTAGTGGGGAGTTTATGCTAAAATTCCACTTATCTCCAAATGCGCACAAAGCATGATTTCTTTTTCAATTAAAATTGAAGTTAATTATAAAATATTATATTTCAGCAATTTTCAGTGGAGATGTTTAATTGCTAAACAAGCACTTAAAGTGAGTTCAAACCGTTTTAGAACACTTGACAACTGCTTCTGTACTCAGCTGTTTGTTCACTTACACACTGCAGCTGAAATTGCAATGCTCTGGATTGTAATGTTACGGAAATTTAACTGGAGAAATTAAGGTCCTGATTTACTTGCGTTGATGAAAAAATATAAATTATAGTTATGTTTCACACTTTAAATGTCCAAAGCTAATTTTTTGACATTTGCCAGCAATTCACTTGGGTAATATTTGTTGTTAAAATATTTAAACTGTTTTGAATAATTACAGCAGATCTTTGTGTGTGGTGCTCAAAGTGAGTGCAGATGTTCACCGTGTAATGCCTCCACTTTCCTTCCCCTGGTCTCAGTATCAGTTACTGTTAATCTAATATCTTATTTCACAGCACATTCAGTAATGAGCTGAAAGATTTGACAAGTGTTTACACCTCGTCTGCGGGAAGGGTTGAATAACCTCTAAGAATGCACTAAACCCACTTCTGTGAAATTGATGTTAGTTACGATCTTGATTCAGTTTCCCATTTATAACTGCAAGCAATAGCATCTAGACACAAGACTAATAATGACACCTAAGTGTGCATGAACACGAAGTATAAAAGAGACAATGAGCAGAAACTAAAAACTCACACCATTTGGATGACAGATATTGTCTCAGTCACCCTTTGTTGTATACAGTCCTTGTTTTCAGAGTGGGTTTAGATGGAGATAATACGGCACATTAATACTTGTGTTTGCCAAACAAATATACTTATAGATACATATTCTCTAGTCTTTACAGTAATCTTCTATGAAGATTGCGACATTTCATTAACACTATCATTCATAAAAAAGATAAATAAAGAATTACAAGCAGTCTATCAGAAAGAATTAAAACCTTGCTGAAAGAAGGGAAGAGCAGGTGGTGAACAATTTATACTGAAGTCAAAATGGGAATCAATTTACTTAGCTGTTATTTTCCATAAAAAATCCTAAAGATTCAAATTTTAATTCTGAATTTCTTGGAGGGATTAAAATTAAACTTTTTCTATGACACAATTACACTTGTGCAGGCATAGCTCAACACTGTTTTCTAGCCTCTATGTACTATTGTAATAACATAAGGAAACTGCAAATGATAATATAATCCTTGCATTTAATATTCCCTTCTCGTTTTGCACAGTGCCATGGGATCCTTAACGTACACCTGAACAGGCAGACAGGACTTCGATTTAACATCTCATCCGGAGGACGGCACTTTCGACAATGCAACACAAACCCAGTATTGCATTGGAGTGTCAGCCTAGACTATGTGATTCCAAGTCCTGACATGCAGCTTGAACCCACAACGTTCAGACTCAGAGGCGAGAGTCCAACCACTGAGCCAGCTGACACATGATAATATTTTGACAAATATTACAAATGATGGCAAATGACAAATGATAAGCAGCAAAAATGTAAAGTAACAGCTAAGTAATTTGATTACCACTTTGAGATCAGTGTCAATTGTTCACTCCTGCTTCGGGCCTGAACTTTGTGCCAAAGTTGGGGGATGAAGAAGGGTTTTTACCTCTGTGGCCAGGGGTTTGACTGCAACTCAACTCATGTGATAATTAGCAAGTCATACGTCACATTGTTCTTCCCAATAATTCAACAATTCACGGCTCAAACAATTTTGACAAGGGAACGCGTACTAATAGCAAATCCTCCAGGATCTGAAAGAATACAACCGATGAATATTACCACATTCTGATAATGTGAACAGACTAATCATCTGTGACGACACAAATTCTGTTGTCACCGAACTATTGATCGTTCTCACGCTCTTTCAGTTCAGTTCTTTTCTCTTCGTGAGCTGCCTGCTGCCTCCAGCAGTGAACCTTTCTTCGCCTTTGCTTCCTTCTTGCCTTTGTGCTTTCTTTCTTGTGTGTACTGGTGCACAGCCTGTCGAACGACCTTGTCCACTATCTGCTTACTGACACTCTGCAGCTCTTCTTCCTGTGGATCATTCTCGGGCTGATCACCTGCCAGGAGATTGTAGACATGAATGCCATTGAATCAACTAACCATTGTATTTTAATGCAATGTGACTCTCCAAGGTGTCCTATTACATATAGTGGTAAAAAATAAAGTTTCATCAATGGTAATTAACACAAAATTGCCACCCAAACATCTGAAAGTGTCTCACAGGTAATTACTGAACAACAACAACAACTTGCACTTATATAGCGTCCTCCACGCAGGATGGCGTCTCAGAGCGATTAACAGAGGCGTAGCCTGACTCCAAGCTGGGGGAAGGGGGGAAGTAGGAAGTGGTCATAAACGCGGTTGAAGAAGAAAGTTATCAGTGGGAACTTGAAAGAGACGGCAAGGCAGATGGATTGAGGGAGAGTGTTCCAGAGTTTTGAGGCATAGTGGCTGAAACCACGACCTCCGATGGTGGGGTGGAAGGTGTGAGGGACGAGCAGGAGGCTGGTGCCAGTCGAGCGGAGGCGCTGGGTGGTGGATTAAGGAGTGAGGTGGTCGGAGATGTAGGGAGGTGCCAGGGAGTGAATGGATTTGAACACGAGTGAATGGATTTGAACGCTATTGACCCTCCTCTTCGACTATGCCATCGGCCACCCCCTTTGCCCTCCCTTCCCTTCTCCCCCCCTGACCCCAGCTCAGGTCTGAAATGCTGTACACTGTCCAGCGCCTTGGGACATCCTCCCGACATGAAAGGCACTATACAAATGTAATCTTGTTGTTTTTGTAGTGCCTGTTTTTGCAGGCAAAAGTGACAGCCATTTGTACTACAAATAGCTAGGAGTAAATGATCAATTAATCTGGAAAACTGCTGCTCAGGATATGAGGAGAAATCCATGTAAGGAGACAAAATATATTCCAGTATTGAATATTGCAATAAGGAAAGTATTTAAAATGTCACTGAATTGCAGTATTTGAATGACGTGGTCTATGGAACTTTTGATATCTAATCTAGTAGTTAGATGTTCACTAATGTTCATCAATTTTATAAAATAAAGCTTACCTTCCAGAGGCTGGTATTTAGGCATTCAGCATCTCTGCCCCCACAGTCTGGAACTCCCGCAATCCCTCCACCTCACCCCCTCTCTTGTCTCCTTCAAGTCTCGTCTAAAGACCTTCCTCTTCAACCGTGCCTTCAACCACCCCTGTCCTCCACCTTTCTTGACCCCAATTTCCAACTCGGGTCCAAAAAAAGCCTGATCATCCAGCACTCTGGGACGTCTTTGCAACATGAAGGGCACTATACAAGTGTAATTTGTTGTTGTTATTACATTGAACCCTGACTGCAGCTTATATTACAACTCATATTAGAAGTGTCCTCAAATTACATCAAGATTGGTCTTCACTTAGTGTTGCTCTGCAGGAACTCCTGGAATCCAACAGTTTCTTCCATACAAATATTCTGAATTGTCCAGGCAAAGCCCTGCAACTTCCACCCTACCAAACCTGATCACATAATTTGTGCACTGCTGATATTGCCACTTTGCATTTGCACTACTGTCTTAATAGTGCACTGATATTCTACGCATAGACAGCAGCGAAGGCCATCAATACCATATTATTTTACTGTTTGAGTAGCAGCAAAACAAAATATGTCATTGTTTAATTACAACATCAGCTTCCCGCTACCATTGCACTTCAGGAACAGATGCAGTAACAGTCACAAACAGGAAGTGATTTTATACTCCCAACTTCTCCTCTGTCCTGTCTTAATTATTATAATGGAAACATTATTTCAACTGCATCTTAGATCTCCTGTTACGCAGTAGCTGTGTAACATTTGAAAGCAACCTGCCAATTAAAGATGAAGTGCAAACATCAATTATCTGTGAGCCAGTCTGCTCCATGGCATCAGAGGGCCAATTACTGGCGGAGCAGGGAGCCTGGGAAAGACAAGGGTCAGCCACAGCAAATGTCACGATTGACAATTGCCTGCTTACAGCAAATATCAAATGCACAAACTAAGAGAGGCAAATGGTGGAGCTGCTATGAGAATTTTTTAATGAAAACTGTAGGTGTAAACGGTACTAGGTTAATCCATTTCTGAGGATAGCCAAGATACCAAATTCAGCTTGTGTCACCAAATATTTCTGCTGTGTTTTATGATTCCTCTCAGGCCAATTCAAGCAGCAACGTCACAAGGAAAGTTAATAATAAAAATTCTTGCATTTGATGTAGGGCCTTTCATGTCAGGAGGTGTCTCAAGGGCTTCACTTTGGTTTCCACAACAATTCAGTGAGATTTACTGTAAAATGTAGTGACCTTGTATTTGTAGGCGAACACATCAGCTAATTTGTGCACAGCAAATGTCCCACAAACAGCCATGAATTTGTGGAATCTTGTAGCTCAGTGGTTAGAGCACTCATCCCGCAGCAAGAGATCTGGGTTCGATTCCCAGCATATTGGACAAATTTCCTTACTCAATACTAGTTACTTAGCAGCAAGTAGGAACCCGATTGTTAGTCGATTGGCGGATTGCTTTTCCAAAGATAATAAACACTCAAAAAAAAATGTGGTCACTCACTCCACGATTGTTTGGGGGACACTGCTGTGTGCAATTGGCTGCCGCGCTTCGCCCACAAATATACAGTAAACTCACTTTACAGTATATTCTGGGAAGCGCTTTGAGACATCTAGAAGATGTGAAAAACGCTATATCAAATGCAAGGATTATTATTATTATGAAGTGAATGATCAATTTCATCTGAGTTGGTCAACACACTGGGAGATACTTCATTTACTTTTTCGAATAATGTCTTCGCATCTTTAATGTCCACCTGAACAGGCAGACAGAACTCTGGTTTTCTGTTTAATTTGAAGGACGGCACCTCCAATATTGCAGCACTTCCAGCTTTACATTAGAATTTCAACCTAGACTATGCAAGTTCCCAATATACGTCTTGAACCTGAGTTAGAGGCAAGATATAGTTGAGGTGGTTAACATCTATTATTGTACACTTTGGTGATGAAAAAATGACATTTGAAGTATTCCTTTAAAAGTCATTGGGACACTAGTTTTGAGTGGAGGCTTTATTGGTTTCCACAGCCTACATTTACAATAGAGCTCCATCAATTCGATCTTCGATGAATCACTTCCTCAAGCTGATTGCAATGGTTGTACAGCAGCACAAATAACCATGTCTTTAACTCCATTTATAGTAAGAGAAGAAGGGATGAAATGATTCTGTGTGATTTTCATCTTGAACTGGTGTGGAAAGCAAAATATACACAGGTTATAAGCAATGTTTGGCTACAAAATACACAAATCATTACACTTTACACTAAATCTTGTGAAATACCGAGATTTCCTCCTGACATGAAAGCCCTAAGTCAAATGCAAGGATTATCAGTATTATTATATTTTAGTCAGTTTCTTTTCTTGTAGCAAGAAGTGTGTTCACTGAGTGAAGGGAGTGGCCAGGTTTGTAGGGTTTAAGGAGGTCAAACAACAGATTTGATCTGATAATATCTGATGCGATAATTATCATGTACATGAGTAGAACTTCCACCTGGGTCCAGATCTACTTTTTAATTCAAAATTTCAGTGTACATCATTTGGCAAATTGTTCAAATTTTGACTTGAATTGGTTTTCGGTAATTCTGAAAAGAAAGTTATAGAAAACGAGGCTTCAAAATTAAAGGTTATATTTTTAAAAAATGCCAAATTGTGGAGCCTCTGAAATCCCACATTTATAGGGTAAATCAGACGCAGGTGAAATTTCTACCCACAGATCTGTTATGAAATGTCAAATTTACCCTCTTTGCTCCAGTTACTTCATGTTGGAGTAGGAAGAGAAGCTCATGATTGCCCCCTCGAGGGGCAGCCATTATAATAGCAGGTCTCCACCTCACTGAGAGTCTTCTAAACTTTGAAGCGAGGAAGGAATGAGGCCAGGTTGGTGGAGGGGCGATTTTCTCCTTATCAGTAACAGTGTGGGTCTTTTTAATCACAATATTCAGCTAGATCAACAATTAAACACTGTCAGCAGATGTGTTTTTTTTCAAAAAAACATAACTATTATTTGTGCATTTAATAAACAAACAAGTAACTGAATGAATGAGTTATAGTTTTCATTCAGCGGGTTTATTATTTCTGGGTGACATTGTTTGTGGGGCTTTGCTGGAATGCTTGTGTGTGTTTGTCGAGGTGTACATTGTTACACTGTCATCATAGTAAGATTTCCAATACGAATTCAAGATCCTCATCTTCGCCTACAAGGCCATTCACGGCCTTGCTCCCTCCTACCTCTCCGACCTACTATCCCCCTATCTACCTGCCCGTACCCTCCGTTCCTCTGGCTCTGGTCTGCTCCACATCCCCCGCCCCAACCGCCCTACCATCGGTTGCCGGGCCTTCAGCCTCTCAGCCCCCAGGCTCTGGAACTCCATCCCCCAGTGCCTTCGCCTTGCTTCCTCCCTTTCCTCCTTCAAGGCCGGTCTCAAGACCTTTCTCTTTGACCGTGCCTTCAGTTCCCCTCTCGATTCTCTACCCCTCCTCGCCCCCTCCCTTCCCTCCCCTCACCCTGACCATTTCCCCCCTGCTCGGGTCCTGACCAAACTGTCCAGCACTTTGGGACTTCCTCCCGACGTGAAAGGCGCTCTATAAATGAAATCTTGTTGTTGTTGTTGATTTAAGGTGTGATAGTAACCTTGAACCTTAAAAACTACAGATCACTCATGCCATCCCAGCTAATAACAGAAATGTTATTTTAATACCAGCTTCAGTGGCCAAATTTATGGTATTTGCAAAGCCATAGCCCATTGGACAAGTCTCTCTGCTCTAAAATTCCTCCTTCCATTTATATAATCCAGACAAAATGAATACATGCCCACTCACTTCCAGGGATCACTGATTAATAATTCCACTATGAACACTTATTGTTTGGATTAACTGTCATGACCTATATTATTAATAATACCACATTACACATGGTTTGCACTTGTCAAATAATGGAATCCACACATATGTATATACACACAAACACTCCGTGGCCCTGCTGACAATAGATCAGAAAAGTAGCAATTCACAAAATAAAAATAAATCCCTATCATCGTGATTCTAGCCCTGGCTGGCAGCTAATTACATAACAGTCACATTGGTAGCAGTAAACTTACATAACTAAACCTTTCGTAAACAACTACAACAACTTGCATTTATATAGTGCCCTAATAGCCAAGCTCAGTTGGTAGTACTCTTGCGTTTAAGTCAGAAATTTGTGTGTTCAAACCCAAAATTCCTTAAAAAATAAATGGATTACTCAATCTATGACTGTTTGTGGGACACTGCTGATTTCCACTGGCTGCCTTGTTTTGCCCACAAAATATATAATCAATTCAGTTTACTGTATATTCTGTGAAGCGCTTTGAGACTTCTCAAAGATGTGATAAGATGCTTTATCAAATGCAAGGATTATTATTACTGTTAGGATTTTGAGCTCACATAGTCCAGTGCTGGGGGGGTGTGCTTCATTGTTGGAATTGCAATCCTTTAGATGACCTGTTAAACCGATGTCCTGTTCAGGTGGATGTTCAAGGTCCCAGAGCACTAGTCGAAAATAGAAAGGAGGTTCGCCCAGTATCCTGGCTAAGAATCATATGGATAAAATTGGTGTGGAAATTGACTGCTGTATTTGCCTGTGAAGTGCTTTGAGATGTCCTCCTGCCGTGAATGATGCTGTATCAAATGCAAAATGCAAGGAATGCTATAAATTGGGCAGCAACACTCCCAAATTCCTAACTAATTCAGGACCAACAGGTTTCTGACAACTTCTGAAAAGAACTGCTTATTTGAGGTCTAAGTTACAAGTTAGGTTAACAACCCATATACAAAATAAAAACAGAAGTCGCTCAGCAGGTCAGACAGCATCTACGGAGAGAGGAAAGTGAGTTAACATTTCAAGTCAATGACCTCTCATCAGAACTGGGGGATGTTGGAAGGGAGGGGATTATAAAGAAAAACAGAGAAGGGGCCAGGAAAAGAAAAGCTGAACTTGTTCTCACATTGAACAACTTTTCCACTTACAAACTGCTCCCTTGCAACATCCCCCAGTTCTGATGAAAGGTCATCGACCTGAAACATTAAATCACACTCCTGTCTCCATTGATGCTGCCTGACCTGCTGAACATTCTCAGCGACTTCTGCTTTTATTTCAGATTTCTAGCATTCTGCAGTATTTAACCTGTACAGAAGATGGGTTAACGATTTGCAAAAGCACACAAATGTCCTTAATTATGTTACTAACAACATGAAGTATTCCAGCATCAGTTGTAAACCTCTCCACTGACTGTTAACTATGTAAGTAAAGGCACTAAAATTTCTTCTCTGCACAATATGTTTTGCACATGCTTTACCCAACCTGTGTATTTTGATTGTGGGAAAGTTAAACCAACTCATAAATAAGACTCCACTGCCATCAGAATAAAAGTGATCACATGCACACCAAGAAGACATCTCAGTTATAATTTAAAAAAGTGGTCACTCAATCCACAACTGTTTGTGGGACACTGCTGTGTGCAATTAGCTGCCACATTTTGCCCACAAATTATGCAGTCAATTCACTTTTCAGTATATTCTGTGAAGCGCTTTGAGATGTCTTGTAGACTTAATAAAGCGCTACATCAAATGCAAGGATTATTATATTATTATGATCATGAAATATCTCGACAGAGGACTTGAAACTAGGTATTTTTCTTTGTTCATATAACATAGAAATACGGAATCAGAAACTCTTAAATTTTTTATTTAAACTTCACAAAGCAAAGGCAGGTGACAGAATATTAATTAAATAAAATTAGATTAAATAACAAAAATGTAAAGCAGGGTTTTTAAATAAGAAAGAAACTGAGTATTGCCTGTTTAACTAGTGGAAAATGCGTCAGACTATTATTTTGGTAAAGTATTTTGAGAATGCTTTTTAATTTAAACATCAGATTGCCTGCAAAAACAAGAGATTAAGCTTATAATGCAGGTTGGCATGAAAAATGGCAACAATACACTTTTCAATGAATTAATAATTGTTAAGAGAGCTTTAACTTGGCTTAAACTAATATTTCAGATAAAACAATTGATATATTGTACCTTGATATTATGAGCTAGCTCTCTGTCACGGGTGTTGTTGATACAGACTTAGAAACAGAAATGAACAAATATAGGTACTAGTCAATATCCTTCAATACTATCATGTGTCACTTATTATATCTTTTTCTACTTAACAATGGTTAGATATGAGGCATATAGGTTCCTTTCCAGTCCTTATTAAAACTTTTTAAGAGTACAAAGTGCATCTATAGCATTTATAGTCAAGCAGAAGTAATTGTTTCTCACCTGCATCTAACACCATAGTACAGTAGTGGGTTGATACACAGAGTTGAGTTAGTAACAGCCGAGAATGTGAGAGATTCGGTATTCAGTCAGGTCTGGTGATGAGAATTACTGAACAAAACCAGTCGTCTTCCCTTCTTGCCCAACAAAATGATTTGAGACTGTTCTCGAACTGAAAAAATGACTGACAATCCAAGGCTGTCATTTGCAAATGGTCTTTTTTGGGGGGACTGATCAGATCGCTACTTGAAACCTTCTCAGCGGGAAGACAGCTAATTGCTCCTAATTGCAGGCTGCCATTCCTGAAGGGTGGATCATGGCATTAGCATTCTCACTGCCAGAGCTCCAGTTAAACTCACAGAACACTGATTCAAATATCTGTTTTTCTAGTCTAACAAGATTCCATATGCAGAACAATTGACAATGATTGAATCTAAACAAATAGTCTGAATTATCACTGTAATTGTCTCTGGATAAAAAGCCCAGCATGTTTTATGTGTATAACATTTGGAGGATATAAATATTTTACTATGGTTTAATGATCACATTTGTCTGTTCATTCTCTATATGCAGATAAGGACTTTGTGATACTATCTTAATAATTTTTGAATATCCTGGACATTGTATACGGATTAAACTTAATCGCGACAACGTTTTTTAAATTTGGCAATTAATCTTTAGTCATTATGTCATCTTTTTCCTTTTCTTTATTACGCTTCCCTAATAATAATAGTCCTTCCATTGTCATCACTCTACAAAAAAGGTACTATGTAAATGCAAGTTGTTGTACTTCTGACACCTGAGAAGAGATGAACAGATGATTTGACTTCAATGGTAATGTTCTTCAGAGTTATATCGTAGGAACAAAAAAACATTTGCTATTCTCACCTAAATATTGTTGCTGCTTTTATCGTTTGTGCCCCCGACTCCAGAATTCTTTCATAATGCAAATGTGTTACAATTTTAAGTGTACTTCCTGATTATTAACAATCAGAAAATATGTAGAATAGTAAACAATGCATTGTTGATTAATCCCTTATAAAGATGCTGAATAAATACTTGTTTCGTTGAGGCTGGTCTGTAAATGTATTGATCTGGCAGTGTGATTTTATTGGACTTTCTCTAGAGAATATACACAGAAAATAAGGCTCGGTGGTGCTTTATGATGGGAATTTGGAAATGCCATTATTCCTGGATTGGTTAATATACCTTACTTATATTGATACCTTGGAGTTTTCACTCTTTGATATAGGAGGATACTCCACATTACCTGCTTGGAACTTTTATCTGTGGATATTCAGCATAATCAGGAGATTAAATAAATCAGGGAACACCCATTCCAACACATTTGTACATGATTAGAACCACAGAAGCTTTACACAGAAGAAGGCCATTTGGCCTATCATGTCTATTTTCACTCTTTTAAAAAAATTCATTCATTCCCATTTACTTACCGTCTGAAATTGTATTATTTAGGGTATACTTCCTTGCCTTATTCCTTTTCTCAAAATGTCTAACCTCACACCTTTTCTACATTAAATTCCATGTGCCATCTCTGTACCCAATTTATTAATCTAACCATGTCTTCCTGAACTTTTTAACTAACAGCCACACTTCCTGAACCAGAACGATACTTTAAGATGCATGAAGACAATAGAATGAGAGGACACAGGTTTAGAGTTGCAAAAGGTAATTTCAGGATAGATACCAAGAATTATTTCTGTACCCGGAGCGTAATTGTTTACTTGAATAGGTTGCCAGAAAGGACGGTTGAGACCAGGACACTGGACTCCTTTTAACAACAGCTTGATGTTGTTATGGAATGACAAGTGTTCTAGAAGGATGAGATCAGATGGGGCGAAGGGCCTTCTTCATCCGAACTAATTTTGTGTCATCTGCAAACGTAGAAATTGTACCCCTTATACCAGAATCCAAACTGTGTATATAATTGGAGATACGTAGTGATTCCAACACAGACCCTTGGGGGGACATCACTAGTTACATTTCTCCATTTCAAATCATGCCTATGTGCTCCTGAACTTTGTTTCCTATTTTTTAACCAACTTTACTTCCATGCTGGGGTCCTGTAGCTCAGTGGTTAGAGCACTCGCTTTGCAAGTGAGAGACCTGAGTTCAATTCCAGACAGGGCGAAACCTTGGGCAAGTTTCCTTACTCCACACGCCTAATAATAATCACTCCAAAAACCCAAAACAATAATAAATTGGTCATTTTCAATCTACGACTGTTTGTGGGACATTGCTGTGCGCAATTGGCTGCCGCATTCGCCCACAAATATACAGTCAATTCACTTTACAGTGTGTTCTGTGAAGCACTTTGGGACGTCCTCCCGACATGAAAAGTGCTATATCAAATGCAAGGATTATTATTATTATTATTATTATGCTGCCACCTTATTACCATGCACCTTAGTTTTTCTTAACAAGCCTCCTATGAGGCACCTGATCAAAAGATCTCGAAAAAAATCTTTTGAGTTGCAAAAATAAAATTTAGATGAAATGAGGCTCAGAGTAAGAACAGCAAACTAATAGCAAATAAAAATGATTCAATCAGGAGGAGCACCAAATCTAAACATAAATTGGCCCACTTTAGCTTCATTTATCAACAGCCCAAATTTGGACATCTTTAGATGGTTGGTGTTGTCCCTTAAAAAATAACTGATGCTCCTTTTGATGTATATATCACAATACTCACTTGTCTGTTACACAATTTCCTGCGTGTCCTAAATGTCTTAAAATGGGCTTCTATCTGTTGCTTGAGTAAATTTCCATTGTCCTGGGGATCAGTTTTGGGGGAGTGGATCTAACAAGGACTGGATAAAGAATCTCAAAACCTATTTCTAAGATGACTGTTACAGTTAGAAGAGAGATTAGACTTTTATCCCGACTAAATTGAATTAAGGTCCCAGAAGTGAAAGTGCAGTGTGCTCGCTGCACTGTAATATCCAAGACTATTTACCTGATCACTGGCAGTTTAGTGAACAACAATAGCGACAACAACAAAATTACATTTGTAAAGCGTCTTTCATGTTGGGAGGATGTCCCAAGGTGCTGAACAGTTGGGGATCAGGACTTGAGCATGGGGGTTACAAGGTTGGGGTGAGGGAGTGCAGAGGGGGTAGGAGGGCAGCTGAAGGCACAGTCGAAAAGGAGGGTCTTGAGTCGTGCCTTGAAGGAGGCAATGGAGAGAGCAAGGTGAAGGGATTGCAGGATGGAGTTCCAAAGGGTGGGGGCAGAGAGGCTGAAAGCCGGGACGAAGATGGTAGGGCGGATCGGGCGGGACACATGGAGCGAGCAGGAGCCAGCTGAAGGGAGGCAGCGGACAGGTTGATAGGTGATCGGCAGGTCAGAGAAGTAGGAGGGGGTAAGGCCTTGAAAGTGAGGATGAGGATTTTGAATTCTATCCTCTGAGGGATGGGGAGCCAGTGGAGCCGGGCGAGGGTGGGAGGGATGGTGAGTATGTAATCTTGTTAAAATGTGGGAATGCCTTTGGCAACATCAATTCTCATGTTAAATTGAATCAGTGGATATCAACTATACTGTTCAACTGGCAGGTGACGTACCATCAACATTCTGTATTTCATTTAGAAAATCTGCTCCCAACAGAAGTACCTTCAGACTGACTGTGATTGCTTTACACCGCTGGTTGCAGTTAACCTATAAGCAGTACACTGCCGTTGGAATTACTTTCCTCTCCAGGGAATTATTCTCTTCCTCCAGATTCTGTGATTAGGCAAATGGAATCTCATCCATAATTTAACATATCGCTCTAGTATGCATCAATGCCAGGGATTTTTAGTTGCTGCAGATTGCGGTTGTCATCCTATTGAGATTTATCATTCTTCTGATTTCAGTCCAGTTTATTCATGTGTCTCTTTCCACTTCACTTTTTGTAGCCTGGAATCTAATGCTCCATATTTTCTTCACAACTTATTAAATTGTTGGAATTTTTTTTCGTTTTTGCTGCTGGCAGCTGGTAAAGGTAAATATTTCAGTGACATATTCATCTTCACAAGCCTTCATTAAGTAAACATTACAACATAAGCATATGGATCATTTCATTCAGAACAGATTTAATTTAAGATGTTTTATTTGAAAGTTGTCTTTCTTAGGTAAACCCGGATTGCTCAATAAGAAATAAGAATATTCTTTAAGGGAGTTTAGAAGGAATGTCTTTACACAGCAGTTGGCAAGAATGTGGAATTGTCATTAGCTGTGGTTCAATCAGAAAGTATTTAAGAGGGAGCCTTGTGTGCAGTACATATATATATATATCTTTAAAAAATTGGTCACTCTATCCATGACTGTTTGTGGGACACTGCTGTATGCAATTGGCTGCTGCATTTCACCCACAAAATATACAGTCAATTCATTTTACGGTATATACTGTGAAGCATTTTGAGACATCTCGAAGACCTGATAAGGAGCTATATCAAACACAAGGATGTTATTATAAACACCAGCATGGACTAGTTGAGCCGAAGGACCTATTTTGCCCAGAGGTAACATCACCCACCTCTGCCTGTATCCTGGATTCCCTCCGCCATGCCTCTTCCTTTCCCACCTTTAAAATCTGCCGTAAGACCTTTCTTTTAAACTGCACTTTTGATCAGTTATGTCACCTATTTGGATCTGTGAAGCACATTGAGACGTACTTTCTTATTGGCATTTTCAGAGGTTTCAGCTCAACATCTGCTAACGCTTGGTGCAAGATTCATACATAGCTATGATGTGTTTTAATGTGACTTGATTCGGGAGGCACTGAATGCTCCATTCTCCTAGGTAAGTAACACATCCAGTGGCAGCTGATTCATCAGTAAATACGTGGTATGGAGGGAACAGGGAAGAGTCCACTCTTCTGGATGCAGAAAATTAACTTGTGGCCGAGCAGCTGTAGAAATCTAGAAATTAAGCGAATGCAGAACTGGAACGGAAAGGAAATAGCAGCTGTATGGGTAAATACTTACTATTGGATCAACCCTCATATGTCTTGGCTAAACACACTGCTCTGAGGTTCTTATCATTGCTGCCAGTGAGATGAGGTTATTAAAAATGTTTTAGACACTAATCACAGTGAAACAAAAGGCTTGTGATCAGATGCCAAACAGATGGATCATATTAAACACCAATGGCAAGGAGCAGATGCATTACAAATGG